ACAGTGTATTCAAGAACTCGTGGCCCACGTTAGCCACTCCGGCTTCTGGGGTTGTGCTGGTGCTCAGGGCTGCTGGGGACCTTAGCACCACTAGAGGACAGGTTAGAAACTGCTGCCATTGTGACTAGAATTGTGGTGATGACAGGGCCTAATCATCTGAACCAGAGTCATGGCATGGTGATGGTGTGTGTATGTGTGTGTTGATTTTTCAGAGAAGGAACACTCAGTTCTGAGAAAAGTACTGTTGGAAGATGAGGTCTTGGCTGCCCTGGTGTCTGTCATTGGCACTGCCACTACCCACTTGAGCCCTGAGTGAGTATAATCATTGATGTGGCTTGATCCTAGGCAGGAGGATAGCAGTCTTGGAGAGAAGCCGCAGATAGCTGCCTTCGGAACTGTCCTTTTACTCAGAATCAAATGTGGAGGGAGTTGTTTTGCTGGCAAAGGAAAAGGAAGGGGCTTTTTTTAGCACCGTGTGTTATAAGGGTTGGGGAAGCATGGGCTAATGTTTCTTAGCACAGATGTGCGTTAAGAATCACCTGGGGAGCATTTTTGTTTGTTTATTTTTTAATTTATGTATTTATTTATTTTGGAAATATACATTGAGTTCTCTGACTGGATTATAAGCTCTAGGAGAACGGGGATTTAATCTCCCTGCTTCACTGCTAAATCACCAGGGCCTAAAATGGGAACGGTTCTTAGCACATAATATATGCTAAATTAATACTTGTTGAATGCGTGAAAGATCATGATCTGGCCCATTGACCCAGTGACGCTCATGTGAACTGAGGGTACTTGAGAACCCTGGCTCCTTGGTGATACATAGTCTTCTCTCCCCAGCTTAGCTGCCCAGAGTGTCGCCCACATTGTGCCCCTTTTCTTGGATGGCAACATTTCCTTTCTGCCTGAAAACAGCTTTCCTTGCAGATTCCAGCCATTCCAGGTAAGGGCCTAATGGACCAGAAGGGAAAGAATCTTGGACTTCTTTTTTGTAAGATTGTATTTATTTGAGAGAGAGTGTGCGCAAGACAGCATAAGCAGTGGAGGAGACGCAAACTCTGCTGAGCAGGGAGCCCGATGCAGGGCTCGATCCCAGGACCCTGGGTCATGACCTGAGCCGAAGGCAGACGTTTAACCAACTGAGCCACCCAGGCGCCCCAGGACTCCTTTCCTTCAAATTTTTAGGGCTAATAGGGGATGGGTTTGGGGACAGACGAGCCTAGTGCTGCGAGACAGGCTTGCTAGAGCTCTTCTTCTTTTATAGGATGGTTCCTCAGGGCAGAGGCGGCTAGTTGCACTGCTCATGGCCTTTGTGTGCTCCTTACCTCGAAATGTGAGTACATTTGGGGAGTACCCTAATTTAACCCTGATAAGGGGAGGCAGCTCCCAAGTGACTTCCGGTCAGAAACTTGCCGTAGGCTAAGCTGATGTATTTTCCTCACTGGAGAATTTAGTTCTCATCCATTCTGGCCCCTGCTGCCACTTTCTACTGGGTATCTCTTGGAGTGCAAGTGTTCTCTTCGTGCATCACATGGTCAGGTTTTGTGTAGGTGGAAATCCCTCAGCTGAACCAACTCATGCGGGAGCTTGTGGAGCTGAGCTGCTGCCCCAGCTGCCCGTTCTCCTCCACCGCCGCTGCCAAGTGCTTTGCAGGACTCCTCAACAAGCTCCCTGCAGGTACTGAGATGAGGCTGGGGGCGGGAGCCTCCTGGAAGCAATTACTGATGAAATCTTGGAAGTTCAGCCTTTACAAAAAGGAGCTGCTAATAATATAATAGGGACTACCAAGGGACAGTGCTTGGGACAAGAGTCAAGACCAAAGTTGGGCAAAGCTTACGGGACATAAGATAAGAGGGTTCAAGCAGAGTGCTCTGTCTAGGTCTGTCATCCTACTCCTCCCTGTGGGAGAGATCATTTTTTTCTAGAAGTAGACCGCTCTTTCCGAATACTAGTACCCCTGTGTTATGAGATACCAGGCTCTCACCCTAGTGTCCTGGAGCTGAGTGGGCAAAGTCAGCCAGATTGTGTACTATTCTCTTCTAAAGGCCTCAGGGAGCCCTGCATTTAAATGATTTATATCCTTTGTTGTTAAAGGAGAAATGTGTAGCCTCTGCATCAGTGTTCCTTATTTTTAGGACAACAGGTGGATGAATTCCTGCAGCTAGCTGTGGACAAAGTAGAGGCTGGCCTGAGCCCTGGGCCCTGTCGTAGTCAGGCCTTCACACTGCTTCTCTGGGTAAGGAGCCAGAATGGATTCTGATTAGACAGAGACAGTTCTATCTGGTTAAATGAAATTTCTCCATTTGACCTTGAACCATAAGCATGCTTCTTGGGGTTCTGGGGTTCAAATGTCGTGCTCTATTCTCTTTCTGATTACAGGTAACAAAGGCCCTGGTACTCAGATATCACCCTCTCAGCTCCTGCCTTACAGACCGGGTAAGTCTGTTCTGGAGACAGGAGAGCTGAGGACCCAACAGTTTTCCTTGTTTATCATCCTAGAAATGACAGCCATCCTCCTCTTGAGTATTTAAGATTCATTCTTCTCTTCTGGTGCACCTCTTTTCTGCAGCTCACGGGCCTTCTGAGTGATCCGGAACTAGGCCCAGCAGCAGCCGACGGCTTCTCTCTGCTCATGTCTGACTGCACGGATGTGCTGACACGCGCTGGCCACGCTGAGGTGCGGCTCATGTTCCGCCAGCGCTTCTTCACAGATAACGTGCCTGCTTTGGTGCAGGGCTTCCATGCTGCTTCCCAAGGTGAGAGGGGATCTAAAAGAAAGGCCCCAAATATAGAGACCTTTCCTTTGCTCAGGGCACATTCTCTCAAATAATTTGGGACCTGAGTGCTGCTTTAGAGCTGCAGTGTCGCCTGTACCTGAAAGGCTAAATTTCCAAATGCTTGTTGCACTTTTTTCCTTTAATGAGTCTCTCTGCCTTTTCTGAGCTTAAAGGTTTGTGGGGTTTTTTTCCCAACCTTTTGCTCGGCTGATGTCCCAGCTTCATCAGAGATTGAAGTTGAATTCCCAAGCTCTATATCTGAGACCAGTGTCTGCCTAAGCTTTTCCATGTTTTTACAGATGTGAAGCCAAATTACCTGAAGGGCCTGTCTCATGTACTTAATAGGCTGCCTAAGCCTGTGCTCTTGCCAGAGTTGCCCACGGTAAGCCCTGCAGTCAGAGCCTCAGACGGGGGGCCTAAGGCAGTGTCCCCAGCCGGGGCATGATGAGGTGGAGGAAAAGCGGGCTTACCACATACATGATCGTGCCTGCCTTCTCTGTGGCCCTTTAGCTGCTTTCCTTGCTGCTGGAGGCCCTGTCCTGCTCTGACTGTGTAGTACAGCTCTCCACCCTCAGCTGCCTTCAGCCTCTTCTGTTGGAAGCACCCCAGGTCATGAGTCTTCACGTGGACACCCTCGTCACCAAGTTTCTGAACCTCAGCTCTAGCCCTTCCATGGTGCGTTAAGCCCCCACAACTCTTTGGCATCTGTGTGTCTCCTTCATGGGTCTCCTCTCACCCCCTGGGATTGTGTTCCAGGCGGTCCGGATTGCTGCGCTGCGGTGTATGCACGCTCTTACTCGTCTGCCCACCCCTGTGGTAAGTACCTCTTTGGCCTGGACCCTTCTTAGAAGAGCCAGAGAAGTACCTTTTTGCCTTAACAAGCAGGACTGGCCACCCTGCTGTGTGACTGCTGTGTGAGGTATGCACAGGCAGGCATTTACCTGACTGCTCTGTGATGGAATGGCCATCCTGCCACAGCATCCTCTCGAATCGCTAAAGAAGAGGAAAACATTAGTTGTAGAGGCAGAGAAGCAGCCCTTTCAGTTGCTTTGGTTGAGCAAAGCTGTGGCTCTTTTAACTCCACAGCTGCTGCCATACAAACCACAGGTGATCCGAGCTTTAGCCAAGCCCCTGGATGACAAGAAGAGACTGGTGCGCAAGGAGGCAGTATCAGCCAGGGGAGAATGGTGAGTTTCTAGGTCATGGGCAAGATGGAATTGAAATGAGCCTCATTGCTGATGCTGGCAACATTCTTTTTGCCTACAGGTTTCTGCTGGGGAGCCCTGGCAGCTGAGCCCTCAGTCCCAGCCTAGGCTGTTCCGACAGACAATCTAACCTGGAATTACTAACTATCAAGCCATCTTGCCCAAGGCAGGGAGACCACTGGCCTCTGATTGCCTCTCCGTGGGCCACTGTTGCTGGCTGTTTAACATAGGAATCCTGACCTCTAAGGCTTTGTGAAGTAACTGAGTGTGAGACCACTTGTATTTGAAGAAAATCTTGGTCTTAGGGCTCTTCCATTTACTTGTCAGAAGAAGGAAGATATGCTGCTGTGGGGCGAATGAAGATGAATGTGGCTTTGAGGACCAGGATGATGGATGTGTGTGTACCTACTGGAAAATAAAGGTTTCTTTTGGTAATGGGGCTGTCAGATATTTTCCCCCTCCCCATGTATGTCTCTGTGGCACCTAACTAGAGCACCACTGTGTAAGCTAGAGGAACACTAACAGGGACTTGCCAGGAATTCTTGGGGGCATCCACCCCTCCAAGTAGAGCACAGGAAGCATGACCAGAACACATACTCACCAGGCCCTGACTCTGACTTCTCCCTTCCTCACCCTCCAGTAAAAGCAAAGGGAAGCTACGTATCTTTAAAAATCAAATACCTTTATTTTTCACCTTCAGCAGCATGTGAGAAGTGGCAGTGACCTCAGCAGTAGGCATGGTGTCTTGCCCTGTTGAGAAGCCAGAATCTCTGCTCTACTGTTCAGGTGTTTCCTCAGACAGCAAGTGGAAGAGGAGGTGGCCAACCCCAGTGCTGGAACCTGGAGGAGGTTGGGGTCAGCACCTGGCAAGGTTGCTAGCTGCCTAATCTCCAGTCTGGGGCTGGAACTTCAGTTTGCCTGAGCTGAGTAAAGGAACATCAGTCCTAGGATTTTTCCACATCGTGCCTTGTTTCTGCAGTAGCCAGGAGACTGGTCCTTGAGTTGTCCCTGTCTCTAAGGCAGGCCCATTGACTTTTTTGCCCAAGGATCCCGAGAAGCTATCCTTGGAGGCCCTTGAGACACCGTAGGAAACAGGGTGGTGCTCAAGCTGTGGCTGACACAATCCAGCTCACACTGCCATCACAGAGGCTGAGTGAGCAGTTACCCAGGGAGGGGGGTCCCAGCTCATTCCATTCCCATGGGGCAGATGACTGGAAGGTAACAGCACCCGAGTAAGCCAGTGCCTATAAGAGAAGACAGAATGAGTTCCAAGAGTTCCTGGTCTTCCTTCCTGATCCTCAGTCCTCAGCAAAGATTCAAGGTATCCTCAAGCTACATTGGCATTAATCCCAAAAGTAACAAAAGTTCTAGTTTGTCCCATGTGCCCTCTGGTGTCTGGAGGGCCTTTAGAGGTTTCAAGCGAAACTTCTAAGGGACCACTCCAAGCAGTGTCAGGCAGGACTGCAATGAGGACAGGCAAGGGAAGAGAGCAGGTACTTCTGGTCTCCTGGTTACTACAGTCTTAGGAGTTGCAATTTGAAAAGTGGTTTACCCTTTTCTCTTGGGCTCAGGGGGGAACTTCATTTTTTTGTCCTAGGACTTGTGTTACAAATAGATGACTACAATCTCACATGTTGCTGGCCTGAACTCCAGACACTGGCATACAAATGGGAGAAGGTTGGTGGTCACTGTGTCCTACCTAGAAGTCCCTTCTTGACAGCAGCTCTCTCAGGGCTCTGCTGTGGTCATCTGTAAGCCACATACGCATGTACACCACACAGTTTTGGCCTTAAGCCCCTTTGGCTCACTTGAACAGTGATCTCTACTCCGAGTCTAGATCTGCAGTGGTCCAGTATGGGAGCCACTAGCCACATGTGCCTATTTAAATTAGTGACAATTAAATTAAAAATATAACTTGTGGGTGCATTAGCCACATTTTAAGTGTTCAGCAACCATATGTGGCTAGTGGCTAATATCTTAAACAACATAGGTACAGAAAACTTTTCTTATCACAGTGAGTTCTACTGGATGGCACTGGACTAGATGTTATACTTTACCTTCCTGTATCCACACCCAGGAAAACCTTCCAGTTGTCCAGGCAGCCATAGTTGTAATGATTCCTAAAAGCCTAGAGCCAAGAAAAACAGGTTTTTAAAAAAAAAAAAAAAAAAGTTTTTACAAACGCTTCTTTACTTAATTCCCTCCTAATTTTAAAGCCTAAATTGGCTAAGCTAAGGCTCAGCTAGGCAAGTTCTGACCTTTTATGAGGCCTGCCCTTATTGGCCCTGGCCATGGCTTCTGTTTCCAGGACAGCAGGTTTAGTTACCCCCCACCCCAAGCCCTCAGCCCTACTCACTCTGCCCTTGGCCTGCAGCCGACGTCTCTCCTTCTTGTTGATGTGCCTTTCGATACTAGTCTCACCTCGACTGATGAGAACGGCATGCCACATAGTTAGGGCACCCAAGGCAAGTGCTACGGAACTAAGAAAAGAGGGGCCGAGATTGGTGGGGAGCTTAGGGGAGAGGGAGGCTACAAGTAGGTCTGAATCCGAAACTGAGCTGAGCAATGATCCCCTGGAAACCTCTCTAAGTCTTATCTCCCCGCCTATGTCATAGGTCAGTTGTTGCTTCACTATGTCTATTAAAAACATCAACAAAGAAGCATCAACATGGACAAAGAATAAATTATGTGGAAAGAAGGATGGGGAAACAAGTCTGCGTTGCTAATAAAAATGGTCCATATTTCCTAAAATACCCATGCTTAGGAAACAGCAGCAGGTACTAAAAGCACCGGGTTTAGAACAGGCAGCACACATTTCTGATCCCGGCTCTCCCACTCCCAGCTGTGATCACACGGCAGCTCACTTCACCCTCTCATCTTCAGTTCTCCTCATCTGGAAATTGCACTGTCCTACCCTGAGGTAGGAGCTTAACTTACCTTGGCACATAACACTCAGTGCTAGCATCCTTAATGTTCCCTGCCCCAAAACACTGAAGAAAATGAAGCACTGACTCTTTGCCAAGCTAAGTCACACCAGGAACAGCAGCAGATGACAGGTGGGTCCCTGCCCACACATGGGCACTGGAACGGTTTTCCTCTAGCTGCCCCCCACTTAAACTGTCAAAAACGAGCGTTTGATACCTGCACAGGAACCAGAGGTAGACAAGACTCTTGTGAGTCACCCTTTCTCGGAAGGAGAAGGTGGGTGGTGGGGTCTGGTGATACGTCTAGAAAAAGAAGAGCAGGGTTGTTCATTTGCTCTGTTGGTCTCTACCACAGCCCCCAGCACCTGCAGGCAGGGAAGTGACCAAAGCCCAGGGTGAGAAAGTAGGGAGTCAAGCCACAGAGAACTCAGGGCAGCAGCCAGATGGGTGGGCCAAGCCCGGCGGCAGCATCATGTGGACACATACTGGGCAGAGCGGGTCTGGACAGGATGGCAAAGCACAGGAGGAGCCGACCCTGAGCCTTCAGATTTGACAACACAAATGGGGCTCCAGGGGAAGCCACTCCACTTCCCAGCGAGAACGCCCTCACTATGTAGCTGCAATCCTCAAGAGAGGAGGCTGGGCCCACACCCAGAATATAAGCACAAGCAGGGAGAACTGAGCTCCGCTGAGGGCTGAAAGGGCAGCAGAGGTTAAGTGGTACAGTCATGACCCAAGACCTCAGAATTAGGGGTCCTTAAAGGCCCAGGAGAAGCGATGATCCTGACAACGGATGCAGAAAGACCAGGAACAAAGGGTGATCAGACTGGCTCAGCCTGATCTCTGTCCCCTGGAACCCCATTACACAGACTAACACAGACTCCTTGCTGCTCAGGCCATCACCAAGGCAGAGTCCTCGCTCCGCCCAAAGAAGGTGATAATGGGATAGAGAGCCCAAAACTGTCACAAACCAGGGATTTTAGTTTACCCAGGCCACAGAGCCTGCCCATGGCAGACAGCCTCCCAGAATACCCCTGATCCAGTCTTGAGAGGCCCCTCAGCCAGCCTCTACAACTGCACTAGCAGGTGGGCCCCCGCTGCCTCAGCAACTCTATACCCCCCGGCCTGAGCAGCAGGAGGCAGTGGGGTGGGGACAGCCCACCTGGTTGGCAACCGCCTGTAGTTTGTTCTTGTCGAGCTGTTTCATTTTCTAAGGGGATGGAAAACAGTGCTGGTTATACTCTTAGGCCTCTAGGATGGGGGTGCTACCAGCCCCACTCCTTAGGGACAAATTCCACGCTCCCAAATTCTACTGAGCTATCCTGCTCCTAACCATGGGCTCACCTCGATGGCAGCATAAGCTTCCCGGAAGAGGTCCCAACTTCCGTAGCTGCAGTAGACACAGCCCAGAGTCATGAAAAAGCAGAAAGAGAAGAAGTACCGATGGTTATAGTGGCCCACACAGTTGTTTAGCCAGGCTGGTAGGAGAAGGATTAAGGATAAGACCAAACGCAGCTTCTGATCTCTGGTTCATCCCTGCTTCATAATGGCATCATCCAAACACAGGGCTTCCAGTTACCAAGAACTGTATCCCAAAGGCAGGAAAACACAGGACTGTTCCCAGAGGTTAAAGTTTTTCAGAGCCTTCACCAGTCCCACTGGGAAATTGTGAAAACTGAAATCCTTCAGCAAAATGAATCTGCCAATACTTCAACCTAGCTTAGGTTAACCAGCCACCTGTAAGGGACAGTACAGAGGTGCCAGTGGTTCCACCTGGCACACCCAGTGGACACCATGAAGCCCAAACAACTCTTAACATCCCACAAATGTTAGCATGACAGTCTACAAAAGAGAACTATTAGATCCCCTGCTCCACGAAGGCCTGTCCCAGAGCTTGTAAGCCTCCTGCTTCTCCCCGGCCAGCCCTGGCCCCAGAGATGGCCAGTCCCCACCACTCCTCTTCTACTAACTTTCACGAGCCCAGTGTTCTTGGAGGGATGATGCCTTGGTTGTGGCCCTTAACCCAGTGCGGGGCTCTGGAGCTAAAGGAACAGGCCTCAGGCAGAAGAGATCATAAAAGGATACGGCAGTGGTGATCCATCTTCAGCACACACCTGTGAGGGAGGGACACAGGCTCTGTTACGGTGGCCAAAGTTCTTGAGAGGTCAGTGCCCATCCTTTCCTACAAGGCCCAGCATCCTGCTGAGGTGGAAAGGGCACAGACTTTGAAGAGAGCCAGGCCTTGCTTCCAAACCCTGCTTCACTGGCTACATGATCTTGGACAAGGTTAACTCCTCTCTGAAGCTCGGTGTCCACAGTGGTGACAATGCCTAACCCAGGACCATCCTGAGGACCAGGTGTCACGACGTGAGGGCACACTGCCTGGTGTATGACGGGCGCTTCATGAACGTCTTCTCAAACTTTAGGTCTAAATTTTGCCCTAGGGTTTCAGCAGAAGGGCCACAGCCTGGGTTCACAGCAAGCAAAGCCAAGACCCACCTATTGCAGATGCTGCAGTGGTGTGTTCGGGCTGGCTTGGGGTAAATGCACTTCTTACAAATGGAGACTGTTGCGATGTCATTCCGGCCCTGTGCAGAGGGAGAAAAGCATCACGACAATGGCAGCAGCACAGTTCTGGACCTCAGAAGGTACCAAGGCACTCTCCCTCCCCACTCCTGGGGCTGGCTCCCACAGCCCGCAGCTCTATCCCTCCCACATGGCCCTGTGGGGACCGACCTGCGGTGGGTATCCAGGTGGAGTGGTGATGGCCTGGTAGTAATGGAAGACGATAAGGATCAGATTCCAGTGGCTGTAGAAGAAGTGCCAGCAGAGCCGTGGCACTGAGTACGTTCGGAGGATGAGAGGCAGGACGCATAGGTAGGCAATGGCCACGATGGAGCTGGTCAGCACAATCACCAACACCACGAACACCTGCCCACACCAGTGAGGTTGGGGAGACACCGTCAGAGTTTGCCAACACCAAGGGCAGACTCGGGAATTTCCCTGGGGTAGGGGGTTGGTGTGGGTCCCAAACCCAATGTGGGTCCACCAGACACATGTCCTTCTACTACCCCCAAAACAGCCCTTTTCCTGCTCCCTGGGCATCACTCACCACCCCACACCAGCGGATCACGTTGTCCACCAGCCAGTAGATAGGCTCAAAGGCAGCATCGACAGCGGTGTCACTGCCCCCAAAGGAATTGTAGAGCAGGGAGCGCAGGCAGACCTTGCCATAGCGCCAGCGCTGTACCACGCCCCGGAGCAGAGGTGGGCATCGGCGCCTGTAGCCCAGGAGCAGAAGCAGGCGCAGGCAGAGGCGGGCGGGCCCCAGCAGCAGGCTCCGCTGGCCCCGCATGGCTCCTAGGAGAGCACACCATTGTGAGGAGCTGGTCAGGTCCTGTCCCTCCCTATCTCGTCAGGGAGGAGGGGGCAAAGACCTCAGAATGAGGCCCGCCTGCGCCAGTCACCAGCTGTGGCAAGTAGGAAGGTCACTTCACTTCTCTGCAGAATAGGTGGCGCCAGTGTCCCAACCAGATTACACGGGGTAGGGTCTGGAGGTTCTGAACCTGCAGAAATCCTACTTCTATTACACCACATGGGTGCAGAGCAAATCCAAGATGAGGCATACCTAGAGTAAAGAGCCACAGTAAAGGGCTCGGGGAGAGGCAGGCAGCTCCAAGCCAAGGCAGGGTCTTCGGAGTTCTCTGTGTAGACAGAGCAGTAGTGGAGCACAGCGGACAAGCACCACACCTCTGTGGGCAGGGCCATCACAGGGGAGGATTCCCAGGGTCTCCTGCCTGCTCTAGCCCACCCACCCACCTCCAAACAATTGTTCTTCACCAAGGAATGGCCAGTGGGGGGGGGGTAAGCGCGTAGCATGTGGGTCCTACATCTAGATCTGCCCTGGTGCTGAATCTCTGCAGAAGATACTCATCTTTCCTCCTTCCTCTGGGCTAATGTTACAAGCCACCAGACCCAGCCTGGTAGCCTGAGAGTCCCTGTCTCCTGTCAGGACACCTCAGCTACCCTACATGACATCAGATGCTTGGTCTCCAATTCCAGTCCCAGCCCCACCCCAAGGATACAAAAGCCAAGACAACTTCAGGTGTTCACAGCAGAACACCACCACAGGCAGGAGACCGTGGCAGTGGGAGGGGGGCCTTCATGCTGTGGCTCACGAAGACTACAGAGCCTGTCCTCTGTGATGAGTCTCCCCTGAGCAGTTCTAGCTGGACACTCATGAGTCTTCTCTGCAGCTGCTGCCCTTGCCCCCAAGCTTCCCAACCAGCCTTCCCACCTCTGAAAGTACCTTCATTCCTCTATGTGAGTTCTACCTCACTCAACAGCCATGGGAGGTCAGCTGCCCAGGCAACGTCCAGAACAGAAGTCATGGGCTCCTTCAATGCTAGTCTCATCAGTTCCGCAGATCAAAGCCCTTACCAGAAAAGAAATTATCTGATTTTCCCCTAGGGCTACTATGTCCTCAGCAACTCCACTGACTTATTTAACAGGCAGCTCAAAACCCAACAGAAACTGGAGGAGGCTGCTCTGCTGTAGAGACAGTTTCAGTTCAGTAACTGGAGCAAGGTGCTCTCCTTGCACACGGGCTTATCACTAGACGCCTTTCAAAACAAACACATTTCATTACCTTCTTCCACAAGCCCTGTAACGACTTCAGGCAAGTAAGAATCCGGCAGACAAGGCCAGCCAAAGAGTAGACAATTCAGTAAGGATTTACTCTGCATCAGGATAAAGAAACTGGCCATTCCCATCACTCCTAGGAGCTAAGAGACTTAAGAAGTAGTGTAGAAATGAGAGAAAGGAAAAAGTCAGCCTTCCTCCTTCCTCTTGAGTTGGAGTCCTATTGCTTGGAACCATGATTTGGCTTGAAGTATGAATTTTCAAAATAGTATATGGCCACAGTTAAATGTAAGAGACAAACGTTTTACCCCACAACAAATCCAAGTGATTCAGATTGTCCACATCACTGTTCATTCCCTTACTGTGGCTAATGGAGAGTTTCCTATTTGCTAAAATACTCTTTATAGCAACAGCTCACAAATAAGATGCATTCCTCGCGTGTTAATAAACAGGAGGTATATGCCATCTCTCCAGTCTACAAAAAACCCAGAAACATTCTTTTTCAGATTCTCCACCTTTCAGACTGTCCTCAACCACCTCTGGTATTCCGGAGTTCTACAGGAAATGCCTGCCTCCAGGACTAGATTTACTCTCATCTACCCCATAACTTGACTAGGGCTCCATTCTGCACTTAAGTAGTTCTGTGACCTTGGGCGAATCACCCAATCTCCTTGTCTTCTCATTCAGTGACAGGGTAGGGTTAAATGCTAAGTTCTCTTCCAGCTCTAACCCTTTATCGTTCTATATATACACTTGGTTAAGGTATAAATGAAATAGGGGCGCCTGGGTGGCTCAGTGGTTAAAGCCTCTGCCTTCGGCTCAGGTCATGATCCCAGGGTCCTGGAATCGAGTCCCGCATCGGGCTCTCTGCTCAGCAGGGAGCCTGCCTCCTCCTCCTCTCTCTCTCTGCCTGCCTCTCTGCCTGCTTGTGATCTGTCAAATAAATAAAAAAAAAAATTTTTTTTTTAATTAAAAAAAAAAAGGTATAAATGAAATATTTACAAAATGCTTAACATGATACCTGGCTCACAGAAGGACTCAATAAATGCTTGTTAAAGAACAGAGGACACAGAAGTGGTGAGGCTGGTTCAACGTCTATCTGTGCTACAAATAATAGCAAGTGCACTCCTGCCAAAGTGATAACATTAAAAAAAGTGTCTGATGCTATCATTCTTTACGGTCAGTGAAGAGAAAAGGAAACCATGGTTAGAATCATAGTACTTAAGAGTAAGAAAGGATTTTGGAAAACATGTCCCAACTAGAAATCAACCCAAACATGTAAGCTGAAAGCTTGTAGATGCAGAGCTACACATCAGATTTGAGCAACTCATTTTAGCTACTGGGGTTTAGGGGGTACGGGGATGGCAGGGAAGAGATACTGTGGTCCATGGGATCACACTTGAACATACGGAGTTCCTTACTTCTCAGGAAATTGAGGTAAAACAGAATTGGAAGAAACTGTGTGTGTGTGTGTGTGTGTGTGTGTGTACGCTGTGGTGGGGTGCGGAGAATGAGAGTGAACACAGGAGGAAACAGCAAAGCTGAGCTTCACTATCACCCCAAGCACAAGCCTTTAGCATTCTGATCCCTCAGTAGCAACCACAGGCCATAGTGACGTCTGCCACCAGATTAGAGGGGATTGAAGTCAGCCACAGCACTCCCCTCTTTCCAAGGCTCTAAGTCACCATCTGTTTTCCAAGGGGAAACTGGGGTGGTGGGGGGCTGGAGGGTTTGCACGGGGAGGGACATATTCCAAAGCCACCAGAAGGCAAGGGAAACTGAGATGAAAGTTGTAGCAAATCTCATCTGGACAAAGATGCTGCTCTCAGGACGTCTGCTGTGTTAAGCAGTAGTTGTCAGTCATCAGTAAGAGCAGCATTCTGCTCATGTGCAGACTTCCATTCCGGACTAACAGGCTTGAAAGAGAAAAAGTTAAGCATGGGCCCACACGACCTGAGATCCGCTTGAGAGGATCCGACTGCAAGATCTGAAGTTGCAGTCACAAAAACCCGGAGAAGGTTTTACTTCTGAATGGGGTGCGTGGTCATTGTGCGATGGAATGGAAGTGGGGGAAAAAAAAAAAACAAAAAACTTGGGTTCCGGTTTGGGCTCTACCTTGAACTATCTTTGAGCCACCAGACAAGTCAAATCCTGTCTCTGGATCTGAGTTTCCAAATCTGTAAAATGGGCAACTTGAGTTGGCTGACCTCCTTCCAGCTCCGCGCGTTACAGGTCCCCAAGGGTGCACTCCGCCAGGCTTGTGCTGGGCAAGGCCGTGCAGGGCGGAGCAAGGAGAGAAGAGGAAACCGGGCTCAGGAAAAGGCCCCGAACAGGGCCCGACCCTAGAAAAAAGGGCAGCACTGGGGAGCAAAGGCCGCGGCTCCGCTCTTACCTGCCGCCCGCCGACTCCCCAGTCAGCCAAATGGAACCCCCGCAGCCTCCGCCGCCGTTCACTGCCACCCCCTCCAGCTCTGCAACCCGGCCGGGCCCGGTTCAGTCCTACCAACCATCGCCCGCCACCCGCAAGACCAGCCCGAAGCCTGGGACCCGTCGCCAGCCCATCCTGGACCACAGGCGCACGCGCAAGCGTTCCGGAGCCCCGCCCCCAGGCTGGTCCTGGGGCAACTTGGGAAATAAAGTGTCTCGGGAGAGGCTCCCGACGATCACGTGATAAATCATACCAATTGGCGCGTTTCTTACTCTAGCACCGCTCCTGAATTTTGGCCAATGAGAAGTCGACGTCGTTTCCCTCCACTGGCAGTCATGGCGCCACCCGTGAGGTACTGCATTCCCGGTAAGTGTGAGGGGCCCATAGCGAATTCTGGATGGGATAGAGCAGGAAGCCTGGATGGCCGGCACCTTATGGGGGCCCGTGACTGATGCAGCGTTTTTCTTCAGGCGAACGTCTGTGTAACTTGGAGGAGGGCAGCCCGGGCAGCGGCACTTACACCCGACACGGCTACATCTTTTCTTCGCTTGCTGGCTGCCTGACGAAGAGCAGCGAGAACGGCGCGGTAAAGGGGCAGCTTCCCATTTCCCCCTTTTCTTCCTTTCTTTTAGGCAGCTTTTGGTTTCGCGACACTACGGACGCGTCTTTAGTGCCTCAGCAGTAGAACAGCGGGTCTCCACTGCTGGGCATTTTAGCCACCACAGACCGGATGTGTTCCTCTCGCTTGATTAAATTGCTGACACTCGAGGAAGGAAGTTAGGGAATGAGCAGAGGCAGACTCAGCCCTGCAGTGAGCTTCATCTTGTCCGAATGTCTCCTGTCTCCGGTTTCATCTTGCTCCGCTATTCCCACCTCACTTTGCAGTCTTGTCACACAGGCTTCTTTCACTGTCGCTGGTAGGGTAAGCTCTCTCCTGCCACAGAGCCTTTGTACACAAACTGTTTGGAACACGGTCATCTCCTTTGCGTGTTTAATTCTTACCTTTCAGATAGCTTCTCTAGTATCACTTTATCTGAGAAGCCATGCTAGACCCACTAGTCAAGGAAAGGAGTTTTATGGGCTTTTATTTTTTGTTTTGTTAAACTCTCACAAGGAACTACACTTCTTTCCTTCCCTGTGCTCAGCTTTGCAAATAATTAAACATTCAGTTACATGTTCCCCCTTGACTCTTCCCTTACTAAACTCTTTAAGTTCCACGAAAGCAAACCTTGCCACCATACCTTTGGTGCCAAGCACAAGGGCCTGTGCTCAATAAATTTTGTTGAGTGCCTAACACTGTCCTCTTTAGTTCCAGAGGCTGATCCAGGATCAGCCCAGGATCAGATAAACAGTCTTTGAAGGAGCAGCTTAAAAATATGGGGTATAGTAGAAAGAGGATTCAGAATTAGAACATTTAGGTACTGGCTAACTAGGCCTTGTTTCTGCTTCATGTTAGAAACTTGATCTCTGGTTTTAGGTTTTACCTCATATGTAAAATTAGAGGCTTTTTATTCAGTCAATTTTGGGAATGTCTTTAACATATCTAAGTTTATTCATTTCATATATTTATTGAGCATTTTCATGTGCCAGGCACAATGCTGACGTCTAGAGATATGGTAGTGAGCCAAATACACATGGTCCCTGCTATCGAGGAACAGACATAAATTGTAAACAAGTAAATGCTCAAATTAGTGTATGGCTGCAAATGTGATGACTATTTTGAAAGAATATTACAGGTTACTGTGAGACCATGTAAAAGACAAACCCACTGTGGTCAGCAGAAGTGACACTAAACCTGAATCTAAAGGATAAATAAAAATTGGGTTGGTGGGGAGAGCACAGTCCTGGCAGAAAGAACAGGTTGAACACAAATTTTGAGATGGGAAGATGTTTAATGAGTTAGTGAAACTGAAAGGCAGCCAGGGAACTGAAGCACAGTAAACAAGGAAGAGATAAATCAAAGATGAGGTTCAAAATATCTGTCTTGGGGTGCCTGAGTGGCTTGGTCAGTTGAGAGACTGACTCTGGATTTTAGCTCCAGTCATGATCTCAGACTCCTGGGATTGAGCCCCATGTCAGGACCCCCCAACAAGTGGGGAATCTGCTTGGGATTCTCCTCTCTCTCCCACTGTCCCTCTCCCCATTTGCACATGCACACACTCTCTAAAATAAATAAATCTTTTAGGGGTGTCTGGGTGGCTCAGTGGGTTAAAGCCTCTGCCTTCCGCTCAGGTCATGATCCCAGGGTCCTGGAATCAAGTCCTGCATTGGGCTCTCTGCTTGGCAGGGAGCCTGCTTCCCCCTCTCTCTCTGCCTGCCTCTCTGCCTACTTGTGATCTCTGTCTGTCAAATAAATAAATAAAAATATTTTAAAAAACAAATAAATAGGGGCACCTGGGTGGCTCAGTCGGTTAGGCATCTGCTTTCGGCTCAGGTCATGATCCCAGGGTCCTGAGATCGAGCCCCACATCGGGCTCTCTGCTCGGCAGGGAGCCTGCTTCCTCCTCTCTCTCTCTCTCTCTCTCTCTCTATCTGCCTCTCTGCCTGCTTGTGATCTCTGTCAAATAAGTAAATAAAATCTTTAAAAAAATAAATAAATAAATCGTTTTTTAAAATGTATCTGTCTTACACCAACAGCCAATACCTTGCTCAAAGAGAAAACTACAAGTATTTCCTTAAAATAGAAGAAATCAAGTATGGCCATTATTATATAATATTTATTTGGAAATTTTAGCCAGTACAATAAAGTGAGAAAATGAGGGAAATAGTATAACTTTGAAGGAGTCAAGTTATCCATGATGATAGACGATGGTTATATACCAAGAAACCCAAGAAAATCACCAAAAACTTTCATAGAACTGATCTGAAATGATTAGATTATGTGTTCTAGTAGCATTCTTCCCTTGAAGAATGGTCCCTTGACCTTCCTATTGTCTAGAATTTCTAAGGCTGTCTCCTCTGGGCACTTATGTCTATAGTCCACCCGTCCTTGTGAACTCAGCTGTGGACCAAAGCATTACTACATTACTCTTAAGCCACAGATACCTTTATGCAAGGTTTAGTCAGGATCTTACATTTTATTGTTTTCTCTATAGCTTCCTGTCATTTCTGTGATGAGAGAAACAGAGTCCCAACTACTACCGGATGTGGGGGCTATTGTAACCTGTAAGGTAAGTTGGTTTTAACCTCCCTGCTTAAGACACTTGTTCAATGGCGAAATCATGATCATTGTGGAACTGCACTGTCAAATACCATAGCCACTAACCATATTGGCCATTTAATTGAAATGAATTAAACAAAACTAAAAGTTCATTTCATCAGTCCCACTAGCAACATTTCAAGTGCTGCCCTGTTGGCCAGCAGTGAACATTTCTATCAGCACAGGGTTACTGGACTGTGCTGGCCTGGAAAGTTCTGGGATAGTGATCAAGGCATCCTGCTTCAGCAGTCATAGTTCTTTCACTGAGCTAAGTCTCTAAGTATGTAGTTTGCGAAACAGGGGTGTCAAAGGGTAATAAGGAGGCCTATTTTTTAATATCTAGAAGCTAGATCTTATTCTGCAGGGAAGCAAAAGAGCTTATATTCTAGCATTCCTTTTAAATCTTGTCTTTTAGGGTATTCCAGGGGAAGTACAAGTTAAGGTTGCCGTGATCAATAAATGTAATATATCCTTACTCCCTGCCCATCCCCACCTTCTTTTTTTTTTTTTTTTTAAGATTTTATTTATTTATTTGAGAGAGAATGAGTGAGAGAGAGCATGAGAGAGGAGAAGGTCAGAGGGAGAAGCAGACTCCCCAGGGAGCTGGGAGCCCAATGCCGTACTCTATCCTGGAAGTCCGGGGTCATGACCTGAGCCTAAGGCAGTCGCTCAACCAACTAAGCCACCCAAGTGCCCCATCCCCACCTTCTGCCAGGTTAAGTTAACTTGTAGCTTTTAGTTGCTCTCTTTATAAATTGTTCCAGTAGAAAATCTGTGTGTTATTCTCAAAACAACTGAAAACGCAGTGATCCAAATATTATGCAGTACCTCAAATGTACACTTAAATTCTGTTGACTCTATGGGGCTTTTAGCAAGATCTGCTGAAGGTCCAGATTTGCTGTAATATCCTGTGTTTATTTATGTTAGTCTTCTGTATTTTTCAAGATCTGCTCCATATTATTTCATTGGATGCCTACGGTAACTTTATTAGGTGGCCAGAGTGACTCTCATCCCACTAGACATGTATCGTTTATGCAAAGTTAAGTAGGAGTTAACTTGTCTTAAATTCTATAATTAATAGGGTTGCTTGGACTAAAATCCTGGTAATTCCTACTTTCTTGCTGCCTCCTTGAGCTCACAACTGCTACTATTCTAATGCTGATCTTTTCTCTGTTTCACAGGTCTCTAGCATCAATTCACGCTTTGCCAAAGTGCACATCCTGTATGTAGGGTCCACACCACTTAAGAACTCTTTTCGAGGAACTATCCGGTAAGAAGTGTTCATGTCTTTACCTTGGCCTCCACACCTGAGGATAGAAGAGGGGACTGGAATTTTTAGGAACAATTACAGTTCCTATACCTGCCTCTCTGGCTCCCATCTTTGTGTTCTGATTCTGTCCAAAGGAAAGGTTATAATGTATGAGCTAAGACAAAAGGAAAATAGTGACAAGATTAGGCTTTAAAGTAAAATGAAAAGAACTGAGCTAAGCTGGAGACTAGTGATGCACAATGACTCATATGAAACAAAGTAGAAGACATTTTAGGAAATACCTTCCTTTCTTTTATTTAATATAGTTTTGTTTTTTTTTTTAAGATTTTATTTACTTATTTATTTGACACACAGAGAGAGAGAGATCACAAGTAGGCAGAGAGGCAGGCGGAGGTGGGGGGGAAGCAGGCTCCGCGCCAAGCAGAGGGCCCGATGTGGGGCTTGATCCCAGGACCCTGAGATCATGACCTGAGCTGAAGGCAGAGGCTTAACCCACTGAGCCACCCAAGCGCCCCTATTTAATATAGTTTAAACCCAAGGATTTGAGACATTAAAAAGATTAGTGTGGGGGGGCACCTGGCTCAACGGGTAAAGCATGGATAAGTCTTGATCTTGGGGTTGTGAGTTCAAGCCCCATGTTAGGTATAGAGACTACTTAAAAATAAAACCTTAGGTGCACCTGGGTGGCTCAGTGGGTTAAGCCTCTGCCTTCAGCTCAGGTCTTGATCTCAGGGTCCTGGGATCGAGCCACACATCAGGCTCTCTGCTCGGCAGGGAACCTTCTTATCCCCCCCACCCTGCCTACTTGTGATCTCTCTCTCTCTCTGTCAAATAAAATAAAATCTTTTAAAAAATAAATAAATAAAATCTTAGGAGCACCTGGGTGTCTCAGTTGGTTGAGTAGCTGACTTGCCATTTCAACTCGGGTCATGATCTCATGGGTCATGAGATTGAGCCTGTGTTGGGCTCTGCGCTCAGTCGGAAGACTACTGGAGACTCTCTCCCTCTGTAAAATAGAGTGCATACTCCCTCCACTCATATGCGCCTGTGCTGTCTCTCTCTCTCCCTCTCTAAGATAAATAAATAAATCTTAAAAAAATAAAATACTTTAAAAAATGGTTAGTTGGTGAAATGGTAGTTGGGTGTTTTGTTTGTTTTTCCTGTAGGTTCTTTGAGAAGGGATCAACAGTTCTTGTGAGCCAGATAATTTAACTTCTGAGGCCCATTCCACTCTCAGGATTCTGTGTTGTTCTATAGTGCTTCTCTTCAAGCTCTACTAAGGCAGCAAAGTTCCTTAATTTTTCCTGCCAAATCTGTTCTGCTTTTCTATACTCAGAGGTATTGATACTGCTGCTCTGTGTGACCCAAGAATGGGAAAGTGGTTTTCTCCTCCGGATGAGGACTTGGAATGCTTCTCTACCCCACTTCTCTCGTGGCATCTGGGTCCCCATTATGACTCGTTCTCTCTACTCTTGTAGCTCTTTGTCTGCTATGATTCTGCAGAATAATTCTTTCTCACCGATAATTAATCTTTCTGTTAATTCTTTTTTATAGCAAGGAAGATGTCCGAGCTACTGAAAAAGACAAGGTTGTTGGTTGGTCCTTTTTCTTTTTTTCCTTATGACTTTAGGAATCTCAATCCTTTTAAATTATTCCACTGAACTTCAAACATCTATAGAAATGTAGATCCAAAGATCCAAGGAATTTTAAGATGTTTCCTACTAGAAAGTGTGGAATTCACCTCCCTGTCCTGTTCCTCTCCCTTAGGATTTTTGTTCTCTCTGTTGACCAGAAGGCGATTAGTTTACTCCTTGCCTTTGAAACCAGGTGTTTATTCTTTGCTGTTCCGATTTACTCTGGATCCTTTCAGAGCCAGCTATAGTAACTTTTGTCCAAGTCAGATTCCTGATCAGGTTACTGAATTAAAAATCTTTGCTTTATATAACGATGCTGTAGAAGCAATAGAAGTTGTTGATTGGCTTGACTAATGATGACTTTTCACCCTGTGGGATTAAAAAGTAGATTGGGTCTACCAGAGGGGTAATAGTTTCATGTAGATCTGATTTAAAGCTTTCACTTAACAATCCTGTTCTTTTCTTACAGGTAGAGATTTATAAGAGTTTCCGTCCAGGTGACATTGTCTTGGCCAAAGTGGTATCCTTTATTCCCAGGAGTGTTGTGGTCCTTTGTCAAAACAAAAAACAGAAGTAGAAAACAACTCAAGTGGTTATGGGAGGGAAGACTTATCACCCTTCATTTTCCTTTACCAGTGTTGTGTGACTAGATCTCCCTGGGTGATGCACAATCCAACTACCTCCTGACCACTGCCGAGAACGAGCTCGGGGTGGTGGTGGCCCACAGTGAATCAGGTAAGTCTGTACATCCATGTGCTCACCTTTCCCTGGGAGCTATGGTTTGGGATTAATCCACTGTTTGCTCTTGTTACCCTTGTTTTTTTAATTATCTAGGCAGCAATAGGAGTGTCAGTACTTACTACTGAGATTAGAATGATTCTCCTTATATAACTGTAATGGGGGGGGGACTCACTCTATAAGTCAGTGGCACCAGTAAGGCTTTTTCCATATGCGGTGAGGTTCACTAGGCTGTTTGGTGATACTTCAGTTCATAACCAGCCTTGAAAGGGAAGGGTCTTCGGTAAACATTTGGGCTTTCCAACTTCAACACCAGCTCTTTCCTTTCAGGTGTCCAAATGGTTCCCATTAGTTGGTGTGAGATGCAGTGCCCTAAGACCCACACTAAAGAATTCCGGAAAGTGGCCCGAGTGCAGCCTGAATTCCTGCAGACCTAAGAAGCCACATTTTACCCCACGGAGAGGGGTAAGCCGTTTATCTAAGAGTACGTGTATGGATCCAACATCAAGATGCCATTGTCTTTATTCAGACGCCTGGGGTTGGCCAACAACCACCTTTAGAAAAATCTGCCAGCAACTTATACTTTAGGTGGAATATTTCTTATGAACCTTTCAGTGGATTTCATTTTCTGGAGTGATCAATTTCTCTTTTTTGGAGGCGTCAACAAACTGTATCATGTTGGAAGTAACCTGTTCCCTCTAACGGTCCTACAAATACACATTTTTTGCTGAGACAAAACATTTTTTACTAAAAAAATTTTATGGCTTTCGTTGTCTTGAGTAGGGAAGCCTCTAAAAAGCATCATGAGGGGCGCCTGGGTGGCTCAGTGGGTTGAGCCTCTGCCTTCAGCTCAGGTCATGATCCCAGTTTCCTGGGTTCGAGCCCTGCATCGAGCTCTCTGCTCACTGGGGAGCCTGCTTCCTCCTCTCTCTCTGCCTGCCTGTCTGCCTACTTGTGATCGCTCTCTCTGTCGAATAAATAAATATTTTTTAAAATAAATAAATAAAAAGCATCATGACATTCAGAGGAGGGGTTTGCCTGGTTGCTGACACCCATTAACGGACATGTGTGAAGTGCTTGCTTACTCTAGAAAAGCCTAATCTCCAATCTTTCTTATATTTTGTATGTTCTAAGCACTTCCACTTACTGAGTACTTGCTATATGCCAGGCACTGAGTCGAGCACTTTATATACATCTCATTGAGAGACAGTACAGTTTAGTGAAAATTAAAGAATACATGGTGATTCAGGGTGCATGTGAGTAGTTCTGAAAGTAATTAGATGAACACAGTATTACTAATTTAGGGGGTACCCCAGCACACGTTTGTTAAACCTGAACTGAAAAGAGGGACAGAGCACGGTCATGAGAGACCAGGGAAGGATGTGTGAAATAAAAGGAACTGAAGAACTTGGCTAAGTGGAATGAAAATATTCAAGGCAGAAAAAGGAGCCTGAACAAAGCGCAGAAGGAATGGACATCCAAGTTTGGGGATGAGGAAGGGATAAGGGTTAAGCGTGGAGAAGCTGCCGAGGGCATGGAAGGAAGAATTAGAGATGTCAGTTATTGAGATGTTCTTCAAGGAGCCCATCTCTTTCAGGTGTACTGACAGTGGTTACCTGTGAACTCCAGAGTCAGCCCACCTGGGTTTATATCCTCTAGCTGCTAGCCTTGAATAGGTTAGGTTGGTTTTTTAATAGAAAACCGAATTGAGATCAGTAGCTTCCCATGCAGTTTTAAGAAATAGTAAGAGATTCCTGGTCCACTTTGCCCATATTTCCCCCAACGGTAACACTGTACAAATTATAGTATACTAAAATAATCAGGATGTTGAACATTGATAGTAATGCAAGTTATTTTTAAGTCTCTTTCCTCGTCTGGCATAGTATGATGTCATGGGTTATTGTGAGGAAGAAATGCCTAAGTTCCAGTACACACCAGTATTATGTTGTTATTACAGATCTGGTTGCCTTCTATCAAGGATCTGTCAAATTCCAGGCCTTATGTTACAATGTAGTTTAAGTAGTCCCCTTACTGATAAAGGTTTTAAAACTTTACAGATTTTCCTTTTTTATAGGCAATGCTACCAAGAAAACCCCTATCCTACATATCCTTGTGCATGCCTAAGTTCTGTGGCAAAACAGATTCCTAGAAGTAGAACGCTGGGTCAAAGAATGGGTATTTTTTAAATTTTGGTTAGGTGTTCCCATATTGCCTTGCAGGAAGATGCTACCATTTGATTCTCTCTACAGCGTTAACCACTTTAGCCACTTTACTTACCTCTGAACTTCCCAGTAGCCCTGGAATGTTCTGATCATTTCTACATTTTACAGAGAAGTAAACTAAGGCTTAGAAAAATCAGTTCACTTGCCCTAAGTCACACAGACATCAAGTGGCAGAGCATTAGAGCATTATTCAAACTTAGGTCTGTCTTATAAAGCCAACATTTTTTCTTCTGTACCATGGTGCCTTTTTCTAAATATTGACTAGAACCTTGGGCATGAAATTAAAGGCTCTCCAAATTAGCAATGGTTCATTGAGTGCTTGTTGGGACTTCATTCAATAAACATATACTGAGCAGCTAGGAGTTAAAACAGTGAACGATAGAATCCTTTCCTTGTAGAGCTTACATTCTAATGAGGAAAGACAGGTGATACGTAAACAAACATTCTAATGAAGTGTCAGAACATTTGAAGCAGCTGAATAACAGCTCTCTCTGATCTGCAGAGCAGGATGGATTTCCTCCATTAACCATCCAGTATTGTATTACATGTTAAGTTTGTGCCTGTCTCCCCTAATAGCCTGAGCTTTTAGGGCAGGAATCTCTTTGAATCTTCAGTGCCTGATACCGTGACTAAACATAGCAAAAGCACAATACAATTTTTTTGAGTGTTCTCATAGCTGACTCAACAGCTACGCCCAAATAGTGATATTTAGTGATGAAATCTGCTAATCTACAACTGGTTCTAAGGGATGAGGAGGATACTGGTTTCTGTGCCTTGGAATAGTGATTCTCAGCCTGGGTGAGGTGATTTTCAAAACTGCCTACAAATCGCACCCCCCCCACACACCAGATGATTATGCTTAGCTAGCTACCCTGGCTACGCAGGGTCTTGGAAGGATGCTAGTTGTTGGTCTCCTGGTGGTGTTGGTAGATAATGCAGGCTTTCTGTTACTTTCCTGCCTCTAAGAGTTCTAGTCAGTGAGTGAAGACTGCCATAAACTCAGATGATGTCAGGACACAGAGTAAGAGTAATCTAAGCTGATCCAGTCTGATTTGGGTGAAGAGCCTTGATCAAAGGAAATTATCAACTTTCAGTCTAAGATTCAGTATAGGCTAAGTAAATTTAACATTCCACCAGACTGTTGGGAGACTTAAATTACTAAAGCTCATCCTAGAGTTACTGGACAGATCAAGTGAAAAACTCAAGAAGATGATTAGAAGTATTTAAATTGAAATAAGGACTTTAGTTGAACATCTTTTCTCTGGGTTCCAGTACTTGGTAGCATATATTTGACCAGTTTCTGCATCTTTTTCAGCCTGTTTCTTCTGTAAACTGGGGATAGCAGCCCTTTCAGAGGTGATGAAGATTAGAGACTGTGTATGTTAACATGCCTCAGCCAAGTGGCCGGCACAGAGGAGCTTCGTGAGAGCTTCCCAGACGGAGGTCCCTATTTCCTCCTGCTAGAAGAAAGGCATTAAGAGCTTTTTCTTGCCTTGGAGTCTCTCTTATGATCCCACAGTCTTTTCAAAGGCCTTAGAGAGAAGGTAAATGTGAGCCATGCCCCTTCCTAATTATTTATATAATGTAATCAACTTCTTTTCTCCTGCATCATTTTATAAAGTTGTGTGTAATTTCTGAGGATGAAAAGTGAATCAAGTTTATAGATTTCTAATGGAAAAATATTAGCTTTTTAAAGTAAACAAGCCTTTACCTTACTCAAAAGGCATAATGGGGTTTCAGAATTTGATTTTCCACTCAAGTGGTACTCAGTAACCAGCGTCACGGAACAAAAGCTGTAGAGGCAATAGGAATGGAGAGTTCAGCTAAGATGACCTGCCCCCCCACCCCACCTCAGCTCCCCAACCTAAGATGGAAAACCTAGTAAGGTATACCATATGTGGACCAGGCTGTGTTAACTGACTGGTTGTCCTAGAGGGACACTATATCACACAGAAGTTATTGCACATCACTCCTTTATTATACTGATCTGGAAAAAAGATTTAGTACAATTACGCTCAAAATGAGTACTGAGCCCAGGGTGGGGCCAAGCAACTGGAACATGATCAGAAACAGATACCGTGAAAGACACACTTGGACATGATCAAGAGGCATCTCACTGCCATAAAACATTAAGGCAGGGGAGGGATTCTAAAACACAGCAGGATGAACTCCTAGGCCTCAGACGTCAAGGAGTTTATCCCACACTGGTGTGAGGAATGACTTATTTTTGGATGATCACATGTGGGAATAGTTCAACCGCCACTAGAAACCCCAGAAGGGTTTCGTTTTGTATTATATATATATGTATGTACTACTTTTTTTTCTTGTAAAAGTAAATGCAACATGTAGAACATTCAGATTGATCCCAGTCTTCTGGAGCCGGCTCTTCTAGGGTCAGAGGGGAAATGACTATTTTCATCACGATGCAGGTTACATTCCTCTTCCACTGGAATGCCTAGAGCGCCCCCCTCCACCTGTACAGAACAGTGCAGGACTCGCTCGTGGGAACACACACAGGCTCTCCTGCTCCTCACTGGTCACACCTAGCATGGTTCCTCCCTATCCCCATTGCAAGCAGCTCCTCAGTAGTAAAACAGTAGCAAAACCCCCAGCATTACTAATTCCCTACTCGTGGGTAAGAGTCTTCTCTCAGCTTGGACTGAGAACCCATGCCCCAGAAGCGCCATTCTGACTAGAATATATGAAGGGAGTGGGTGCAAGAAACAAAATGGCTAAACGAAATTAGGAGCCACTGGTCCTCATCTGCAGCTAAAACTTAAGATGCCTACAGATAGGGTCAGTGTGACATGTGCAGGGAAGAAGTGCAGAGGAGTGGGATGGACAGGGAGGGGAGGTATCCTTGGGGAAGTAGTCTGCCTGCTTCCCTTCACTTTTTGGCCTTGCCCTGGGCAGCCACAGCTTCCATGGCTTTACGCACGGTCTCTTCATCCCCCAGGAACTGCATGGGCTTGATGGGCTTCAAGTTCTTGTCCAATTCATAGACCATGGGAATGCCTGTTGGAAGGTTTAGTTCCATGATAGCCTCTTCGGAAAGACCTGAAAATACACACCGTGATTAGCCATGCAAGACACAAATCCATGTCACCTCTGCAGGTGACAAAGGACTTCAGTAGGAATTAAATAAAACAAGACACCCTTTCTGGTGTTTGTAATAACAGTAATGATCCGTATTACAGATCAGTCACCCAAAGAATGCACCCAATACTTATTTCTCAGCCACTGAAAAGCAAGAAGTATGAAAGGTGTGTACCACAGATCTCTCTCCCAAAGTAGGGTTAGGACCAAACACATCTCAAATGTCCTATGTGGTCCATCCAGCCTGCCAAAAATCAGCAAATCTGTCCCTCTAGGCCCTCAGGTAAAGCAATTTAGAATGCAAATTGAGATTCATGTGTGAAGTTGTACCAGGTTGTGATTAAGGAGGATTTTACCAGTTTCAACTGGCAATCCTAGTCTAAAGGTGAGCATCTCAAATTATAAAGTGTATGTGAGTAACAGATGGCAGCCTCTGCATCAGGTCTGAAGGGGAACCTGAAGTTCTGCATATACAGTAAGCACCCAATGAGTCTGTCTACGATGCTTTGAGGAAACAAGGGTAGAGGGTGACCAGGAGTCAATCTATCTCCAAGGCTCTCAATATGTCTAACCTTTTCCCGAAGGTATCCTTTGCATGCAATAAGTCCCTGATTAGTGGCAATTTTGCTGTATGCCTCCTTGAGGGTTCCCCTGAAAAATACACATACCCTCCAGATGCTTGACAATGCCCCGAAGGCTGTTGCCATGGGCTGCAATCAGGACTCGTTTCCCCTCCTTAATCTGGGGAACTATTTCTTCGTTCCAAAAGGGCAGAGCTCTGGCAATTGTGTCCTTCAGACTCTCACAGGAGGGGAGCTGATCTTCAGTGAGGTCTGCATACCTTCGATCCTAAACAACAAAAAAAAATCCAAATTCACCCATTAGTAGTAGCTGCATCTGTTCCGGCCACTCCTCATCCCCTAATTAAAGTGATGAATCAAAAGCTCTCACCAGCGCACAGAATAGAGCTGAGAGCTTGGAAAAGGGGCTAATTATTACCTTGAAGCTCTTCCTACCACCACTGCCCACTACTGGGAAGATTAATTTTTCAAAGAAACAGAAAAGAAGGGGGGGAAAGTAAGTACAAGGCTCTTCCCAATTCACTTAATCTTCTACTTGTCTTAGAAGGGCCCTACAACTATGGATAGGTTTTATGAAGTATGTCAATGAAGAAAGAAAAAAAGGGGATATATTTTTAGGTAAGTAACTATCAACTAAATCTTTTAACAAGTGAAGGTCATTCCTTAGAGAAGGATAATTGAAAGAATTAAGTATTTATTATAAATTATAAACTCAATGGGACTAGGCAGACACTAATAAAAAGCTAAGAAAGAGTGAGGCCCAGAACCATAACCCATGGTCCTAAGTGGAGTTGAGCCAAACCCCGTTTTACCATACCTTACTGATGTTGCCATAGAAGGGATGGTCAGGTTCCATTGGAGGTGGTGGGACATCATAGGAGCGCCTCCAGATCTTCACCTGGGCCTCGCCGTGCTTGGCAGCAGTTTCTGCTTTGTTCAGACCAGTCAGACCTCCATAGTGCCGCTCATTGAGGCGCCAAGTCCTCACTACTGGCAGCCACATCTGGTCAATGGCATCCAGCACTGTCCAGAGAGTCCGAATTGCTCTCTTCTGCACTGAGGTGAAGCAGATGTCAAACTCATAGCCAGCATCTGGGAATCAGAAATTCAAAGTGATAAGCTAATCAGATCCACTCTGGAACCAGAATTTCCTTACATATAAATTTAACTAGTTTGTATACTCCAGCAGGAAAGACAATCTTGTGCCTTCACAAAAGATAAAAATTTGTTATTTTATAGTTGACAACATGATTCCCCAATAATTCACCTAACCCAAGACCTAAACATATTGTCAAGTAGCTACTGTGTACCATCTGTGTGGCTTATCCTAAACCACACAGTGCTGTAATTAAGCCACTTTAAGAACTTACTTCTCCAATTCTTTCAAGAAAAAGATGCTTAAAAACTTGGAATCTCTTAATATATAATAATACGTATAGAGGGCTTGCCATCTGTCAAGCACTGGACTATTCTGTATGTGTTTTGTCTTCATAACCATCCTTGTAACCCATGCTAGAGGAGTTGAGCAAATTATTCAAGGTCACAGCTTATACGTGAGAGATTAAAATCCAGGCTGTGTGACTCCAAAATCCAACTCATAACCACCATCTCTAGTTCCCTCTACATTTTCCTAACTCCTAAGGATCTGGATATTTGTATTTTAGTTAAAACAGTCACTTTTAACCAATGATTACTAATGTATTTCAGTTCTAACTTCTTGTCTAGGGGAAGTGGATTTTAAACCCCCAACAATCAGGACATAGCAAGAGCTCTTAGAGGATGCTGATTAAAACTTAAATTTTTTGCCTGAAATTGTATGTTCACTATGGAGTGGAAATCACATCACAATTTCTTTATCCAGTTTCTGTTACAGTCAAGTGCCAGCCTGTACCTACTTAGGTCGATGGCTAGACCAAGGTTTAGGAGAAGCCACTCCCTGGAGAAAGAGCAAAAAGAGCAAATGCTGTGCACTGATTCATTTATAAATGAATCTCTCCTCCACACTCGTTAGTTCTTAAGGGGTGGTAATCAAGAGTTATGCTGCCCCAACCAACAGGCTACAATTCATATTTCATGAAAGATTATCCCCCCTCCCAATTTAATAAGGAGATGGCCCTTTCTTCATGTAGTGTTTTCCTCCATGAGGCTACAAAGGCCGTCTTTGAAATTCAGCACAAACTTTCCTGGTATTGCCTCATATGGAGGTTGCCAACAGTAATTAATGCAATGTGAAGTGAATTCTCCTGCCAGTCATTCAGCTGAGAATGAGGCCAGTAAGAACTATGCTGATGGGGGAAGGGAGGATTAATCACCAGGAAACCCACCACTACACTACCCCCAAGGGAAAAGATGAAGAATCTCATCAGTGAGCCTCAGGACAAGTCCTAGTAGACTTCATTACCATCTCCTCCCTAACTCTAAGGAAGGGATGGCTCCCCAGTAAAAGGCTGAGTCACCAGGAAGCAACCATCCATAGTGCAAACGTCATCTCCCATGCTGCAAAGCTACTGGCTGTTTCACTGCAATTATTTCCATTCTCAATGGAGTGCCTACCTTTGGATATCCAAATAGGCCCCCAAGGAGAAAAGTAGTTCCCCTGAGGGCTCTTAACAGAGAACTCTACAGCCTCTTCCTTTAACTTTCCCATTAAATAAAAGCATAGCCCAGGGGCGGGGTAAATGGTGTGGTGTGGACCTCATCCTCCCCCAGAAGTAAGACTGCATGGGGGAACTCAGTTCTCACTGGCTTTCTCCTGAAACAACTCAAGAGTTTATAAACCTTGGGGTCCCCAGGTGGCTCAGTCATTAAGCATCTTCCTTTGGCTCAGGTCATGATCCCAGGGTGCTGGGATCAAGCCCCAGATCCGACTCTGCTCAGCGGGAACCCTGCTTCTCCCTTTCCCACTCTCCCTGCTTGTGTTCCCTCTCTCGCTGTGCCTCTGTTAAATAAATAAAATATTAAAAAAGAAAAAAGAGTTTATTAACCCTACTATGATTGAAAGCTCTGAAGAATTTAAGATTTACTCATGTATTTACTTTAGGTTTCTTACATTAATCATAATGGTCTTCACCATTCAGATTTCTGCTTTCAGTCTTTTTTAATATAATCATGAGTGATGCCCATAACAGATATTAAGATCTTAAATGAAATTTTTCTAACTAATGCTACCCACATTTACTTACAAATTGAAATAGGGGGTGCCTGGCTGGCTTAGTCACAAGAGGATGTGACTCTTGATCTTGGGGTCATGAGTTTGAGCCCCATATTAAGTGCAGAGATTACTAAAAATAAGCAAGTTTAAAAAAAAACAAAACTGAAACAGGGTCTGTTAAAGAGGAATTACAAGTTTGACCATTTGATCAGTCTTTTAGGGTACAGCTGCAATTATCTTTGTCCTGGGTTAGTCTCAGCAAACCACCACAGACCCATACAGGGCTTCATACCAGACAGGAGAGAAAATGGCCTCCTTTACCAGCACTTTCCCTCTCCCAGCCTCTCCTAATCTAAGTCACACCAGACCATCCCAAAGCGTTCACACACACAGCCAGCAGGATTACATTTCCCACTTTCCAAACCTGTGCTTCATTTCAAACAATCTACAGTGAAGGCAAGACGCTAGAGTAACCTGAGGCCAAATACCTCTTCCACATCAGGCATCAATGACCCTTTTAAATGGCTGCTTCTCTGTCCAAAGGTTAGAAAGGAGCAAGGCAGGAGCTGCCCTAATCATCAAAGGAACACCTTCTCAGACCAGAGAGAGTCTCTGAGTTGCTGACAGCTGGGAATGGTTCCTTACAAAAAGCATTCCAAAACCACGGAGAGCTATCCCCCCTGGGCGGGGCAAGCCTGGGTAGATGAGTTTATCTCACTGCCACTTCCACCTTTGCCCACCTGTTACTCAACCCAAACTGGAGCAAGCGGGATGGACTAGGAATAGAAAGATACGACCTTGAACAAGTCATCTATGCAATCTTCACTTCTCCCAACTATGAAAGAGGGCCAGGAAAGAATAGAAAAAAGGGGGTTAAAATCTGTCTATGGAATCTGCACAGGATCAACTCAAATCCTTCATTCATTCATTCGCTCAATTACATTTGAAGATGGATTTTGGACACAGAATTTGTGGGATGCTGAACAGCAAAGGCCTACATAAGCACGTGGGTTTCTGAGGCCCGCTGCCTACCCGCGCACCCCCCACCCCGCCGCGTTACTCCCCCACAGCCAAGGACCCGCGTGTGGCCTGACGTTTCATTAGAATCGCAGCGACCTCCTGAAAAGGCGTGGTTACGGCTGCTGGAAGGCACCGGGCATCCCATGTAATTACCCGTCCCCGACTTACTAAATGCTCAGACTAGAAAATGGGAGAATTTCGCAAGGTGGTGTCGTGGAGAACGCAATGGGTTACGGGGCGACCGCCCTCGGCCCTCTTCCTGGCGCGGCCCCTCACTCCACTGGATGACCTTGAGCAAGTCGACCCCCCCCCAACCTGGGCCCATTTCTTCAGTTGCAAAATAAATTGCTGGAAAGCTGAAGCTCAAGGTCAGCCCTCTCTGGGAGGGCACGGGGGCGAGCCAGGCGGCGGCCCTCACCGTGAGGCGCCCGCCCGGGCCTCCGCAGCCCCCACGCACTGCCCAGCCCAGCCCGCTCCGCACCTCGCAGCGCCTGCCCGCCGCGCTTCGCCTCTTCGTGCCCGGCCGGGCTCAGGTCGGCGTCGTACCAGCCGCTGAAGCGGTTCTCCAGGTTCCAAGCGCTCTCGCCGTGCCGGATCAGCACCAGCTTGTATGCAGCCATGGCGGCGGCTCCGGGTGCGACACACACTGGGACTAGCAGAGATTCCGGAGTTGCTGCCCGGGCCCAGCCGCGCCTGCGCGCTCACACCCCGCCGCCGGGTTCCCGCGCACTGGGTCGCCCAAATCTTTCCACTGGCTTGGGGCCGCCCTCGGCCCGCCGGGTGTGCGCATGCGCCCCGTGCTCGCGCTGCGGCCGTCGTGGGGGAGGGGCACGCTCGAGGGCGCCAGAGCGCATGCGGTCTCGGCCGCTGGCCCCTAGTCTGTAGAGGCTGTCACGGAGCGCACGTAAGCGCCGAAAGGCGGCGGGACTTTCGGGCACCGCCGGGCTGTGGGTGCCCGAGGGGGCGTTCGAGAGCCACCCTGCTGTCCTAGAATTGCTGTTGTTCATAAGCCGTTTGTTCTAATAAAGTGGCCGTTATCATTTGAACGGGGCTTAACTGCGCCAGGTCACTTTTCCATCCGTATGCAGTTTGGGTTCACACACCTGCGTTCGAATCTTCACTCTTCCTTTTTTATTGCTTTGTATCTTTGGGCAGGTCGCTTAACCTCGCCCAGCCTCATTCGTGAATGGTCATAATAAATACTTAGCTGGTGCCAATCTATCTGGAAGGGCTATTCAGTCAATAGTCCTTACGAGTGCTTTCTCATTTTAGTGGATATTCATATCCTATTTTACACGTAAGAGAACTGGCCTTGACTGCTGGTTCCAAAGTCCTGCGCTTCCCAGAAACACTGGGCCGTTTATCCCACCTCTTCGGGTGTCTCCCACTCTCTCTAGTCGGTGTCTCCTGGTCCTCCAACAGTGACGCAAACTCAGGACCCCTTCGAACATTCCAGAAAAAGGAGAGTCACTGCCTGTTCTTCCCCTTACACCCAATCAGCAGTTTAATATCTGCTTGTCTGGACAGCTCTCCGCTACCCTTGCCACCGACTCCTGGTTTATTTCAAACTAGCCACTTTATTGAGCACCAAACCAGGAGTCAGTGGGCTAGGGCCAAAGATGGGTTGAATGTGTTTTCTGCCCTTCACAGCAAGTGGAGTGCCAATAAGACCCACAGGTAAACAGCTAACAATGAAATTGTGCTGTGTGCTATATTTAACAGATTCTAGAAAAGTTTTTAACATGCTCTCAAAAAAAAAAAAAAAAGGTGAAAAAAACCCCTATGTACCAAACAGTGTTATAAGTGCTTTACAAACATTAACTCTTCTAATCCTCATATACTCATAATGGTCCTATGAGGCAGGTATTCTATTTCGTTATTTACTGATGAAGAAAATGAGGGATGAAGTAAACTGCCTAAGGTTACAGGGCTCGGGATTCAAGCTGAGGCCTGTTCCCAAATCCCTGTATGCCCAGACTCAGAGAACTAAGTTGTCGGAATTCACAGCTCTGCCCTGAGTGTCAGGGCTGGGAGAGGTCTTGAAAATTCTCCACTGCAACTCCCCACCTCCTGCTACCCCCAGTTTACATGTAACGGAAGAGGAAAGTGACCTGAACCATTCAAAAAGAGCACACTAGTGGAGGACTCAGGTGATCCCACAGGGAAGGGCCCCAAAGTTGGGACTTGCAGTGTCAGAAAGGGAGGCAGCAGCCTGGAGAGATCCAGAGAGCAGGAGAGCTCGGGGGATGGGAAGCACTGTGGGAAGAAGACCTTGAAGGCTTGCTTTTGCAGCTGGAAGCCAGAATTCCTGGGCAGAGATGGGGATTCACTCAGCTTCAATCACAAATCTGGGAAGAAGCTTAGAGCCTATCAAACCAAGGCGATTTCTCAAATGTCAGTCAAAAGTAAGGATAAATCAGTGGGGTTTGTCCTCAACTACTTTTTTTTTAAAACCTTAAGTGTTATCTCTACTGAACACACAGCACAAAGACATTTGTCAGGGTTGATTCCTGGGCCCTTCTAAGGCACCACGTGGATATGGAAGAGAATTCACACATCCTGAGAACAAAGGATGAGTGAGGGGCTGATTGCAGCTGGATTCCAGCTGTAGGAGCAACCTGAGGGAATGACTTCACAGCTCCTAACCAGGTCACTGCCCTCACTTCTTGCCCAGCAGGGGCAACTGTGGCCCATTAAGTCCCTCTTCCTGCCTGGAGTGTGGGGTGGGGATCTAAGCTCCAGACTCCTCTCAGCTGTCAGGTCCTGGGCCAGAAGCAGTCATTAATAACAAGCCCTCATCTCCACCTGAGGCCTCCAGCCAGCCTCAAAACCCCAAACTCTTAGAGCAGACAGCTTCTCTTCCAGCAGAGTGCTTTAATTCATTCCCCAGACCCAGGGAAAATCTCAGGACTCTAACAGCTTTCAACCAACCAGCTTATCGGTTAAGCTGTTACAAAAACTCAGATAAGGATAATCAGGAGGCACAGCCCAATTACCCTCCACTGTCCATTAAAACAGTAAAGCCCTCTCTCAGCCTTCCCTCCCCCTTTATGTTTTCCACAGAAGCACAACTCTGTTATCAAGCACCCAACATTCAGTGCAGGACCCGGTTTATAACCGAAGTGAGGCAAGCCAAGTTCTCTGCAGGGTTGAAGGAGGGGCAGCTGCCGTTTGGCCCACAGGGATCCCTGCCAGGACACCCCGGGTCCTTACTTGTGGAACATCTTATGAATCCATAGCCTGCTGTTCGGACGTGCCAGCTATCGGTGCTACTGTCTGAGGAAGACAGGATTTCTGTCTGGAAGAGAGAGTGAGCCCAAGTGATTGTAGCTAATCAGGACTCTGGGCTTGTAGAGGAAGAGTGCTTTTAAGGAGGCCTGAAAGTCCCACTCCAGCCCTCTGCGGTCGCCATCTGAGGATAAACAGCGGGAATGAGTGTCACTGGAAAAGAGAGAGGACAACGCTGCTGTGTACTTGTGGCTTCCTACAACTCCCCTGACAACACCCTTCCTTCTCTGTCCTCAGAACCCAGCCTCGGACTTGAGTGTCTGGCCCAGCGATAGTACAAGCCCTTCTCTCTGGATCCTGGAACTCTTCCCGTCTCTAAAAAGAAACCACCCTCTGCCTCTAGGCCCTGCATGTCATAACTACAATGATAAAGCTGCTCAAAGTGGGGCAATAGCAAACCTTTTTGACTCCTCTACTTTCCTTTACATAAAACTGTTTTCCGGGGCACCTGGGTGGCTCAGTGGGTTAAAACCTCTGCCTTCAGCTTGGGTCATAATCCCAGGGTCCTGGGATCGAGCCCCATATCCCCATATCGGACTCTCTGCTCAGCGGGGAGCCTGCTTCCCCCTCTCTCTGCCTGCCTCTCTACCTACTTGTGATTTCTGTCTCTCAAGTAAATAAATACAATCTTAAAAAAAAAACAAAACTGTTTTCCTACGCTATTCCTTTAGATGAAATTCTAAGTACAAAACAGGGAGACACTTTTGTTATTTGGGAACGGTTCACGTTAAGTGTAGTGAGGGACTGAGAGATTAGTGGTAAGAATTAGTACAGGATCTCTGAGAAGCAGTTGCCCAGCAGGATTTGCATTAAAGGTATTAGGGGAAATGCCTGAGACAGGAAATGGGAGGGTGACAGGCTGACAGAGTAGGTGTGACCCAAGTGAAAGAAGGATTAAAGGAAGGTTGAGCGGGTGGAACATTTCTTTTTTTTTTTTTTTTTTTAAAGATTTTATTTATTTATTTGACAGAGAGAGATCACAAGCAGGCAGAGAGGCAGGCAGAGAGGAGGAAGCAGGCTCCCTCCTGAGCAGAGAGCCCGATGCGGGCCTCGATCCCAGGACCCTGAGATCATGACCTGAGCCGAAGGCAGCAGCTTAACCCACTGAGCCACCCAGGCGCCCCCGGGTGGAACATTTCTGAGGAAATTCAGGAGGGAGGTTGAGGAATCCTCAAGCCAAGATCACTCTTCAGAGCAGGCCTTGCCTTCGCATCCTTGGCACAGGGATACTAAGTCAGCGGTGGGCAGCCTGTGGGCAGCACGGCCTCTGACTGAATGCTGTGAGGGATTTCAGAGTGACACAATGGGAGCCCCGGGTCAACCAGCTGTGTGAGATTTGGGGGATGGATTCTCATGGTCGTGCATGTACATTCAATAAATTTGTCAGAAATGTTTTTACGTCTGCACTCAGTGACTCCTTACTAACTGATGGAGGGAAGTTATCCAAGGTGCCTGTCAGCCAATGGCAAGGTGGTCAACCAGGTTTCCAACAGTCCTGCTAAGGATTTTGCTCAGGGCAGAGCTGGGGAGTGGGTGGCTGTCCTATATCTGAACACAGTGGAGGAAATGCCTGTCTCCCAGAGGTGACAACAGGAGCCCGCTCAGGGTTGTCCAGCCTAAGATATGTGGACAAGAAGAACAACAATCAGAAACCCACATGAGTTTCTCAAATGCCTAAACATGGAGTTACCCTGTGATGCAGTGATTTTGTTCCTGGGTGTATATGCAAGAGAAATAAAAGCAAATATCCACACCAAAACTCATATGCAAATGTTTAAAAAAAAAAAAAAGGCATTATTCACCAAAGCCAAGATGTGGAAACAACCGGAGTGTCTGTCGGCTGATGAATGGATAAATAATATGCAGTACAGACATACCGTGGAATATTCAACCATAAAAAGGAATGGAACACTGATACGCGCTGCCTGGATGAACCTTGAAAACAGTATGCTGAAGAGAGATGTCAGATGCAAAAGGCCTCGTGCTGGAGGGTTGGGGGCTTCTAAAGAAGGGATATGGAGTTTCTCTGTGAGGTGATGAAATGTTCTAAAATGGGCTGTGGTCTGGTTACACATAACGGTGAAGTGAACTAAAAACTTTAAATTGTGCAACTGAAATGGGTGAAGTCGACGGTATGAGAATTATATCTCAGTAAAGCTGTTTAAAAAAATCTGTGAGAGGGGCGCCTGGGTGGCTCAGTGGGTTAAGCCGCTGCCTTCGGCTCGGGTCATGATCTCAGGGTCCTGGGATCGAGCCCCGCATCGGGCTCTCTGCTCAGCAGTGAGCCTGCTTCCTCCTCTCTCTCTGCCTGCCTCTCTGCCTGCTTGTGATCTCTCTCTGTCAAATAAATAAAAAAAAAAAAAAAAAAATCTTAAAAAAAAAAAAAAATCTGTGAGAGCCTCACCACTAAGAGCCATCGCTCGCTCGAGGG